ATTACATAAACTAGGAAATTAGCTTTCAGCATACAAATATAAACTTCAGATATTTCATTTTTTAATTCATAATTGTAANTAATTATGTACTGTACATAACGAATGATAGCATATAGCAGCAGCCAAATAGTAATTTTAGCTTCATTGTTTGATTTATATTAAATTATTTACATTTTAGAATATTATATAATGTATTTACAAATGCTTTTATGAATATAGCAAAATGTTTGCGTATAATTTGCCATATTAAACAGTTATATAAACTTAATTTATTATACATTAAAATTATCCATTATAAAAAATTACATATACTTATTAACGTTTTTAATTCTTAAAAAAGTAGCGAATCATTTATATTTTTTATTTTTGTATTATTAATTATTAAAATATATTGAAATTAAGTAGCCTTTAAAATATTAAAATAAATAAATATGTACAAGTTTTAAAAAATCTCATTTTTTAAACTCAAGTAATCTTTTTATCAAATTATCATCGAAAAATGCAAATTTTTTCTAAAAAATTCTTCTCTAAATCAAATTACTTAGAAAGGCGTTAATGCAAACTAGAAAATATATCCAAATAAATAATCCCTAGAATATGTTGGAAAAAAATTGTTCTGATAAATATAATTTTAAATCATTTTTCTTTTAGATTAAAACAATAATATAAAATATCTATAACATTTTTAATTTAAATAAATTAGAAAGAAACAATATAAATTTAAAGTAATAGCAACTTTAATTTTCATTTATTAATATAATTTCTGTTTTAAAATATCTTAAAATTTTGTTTTTATACGCTAAATTAACTCTTCGTAAAATTACACTTTTCGCTTACAATAGAATAAATTTCGATTTTTATTCTTTCATGTTTAATAATAAGTACCGAAAGTAAAGGAAATTAGGAAGCTGTATAGAAATACAGTATAAATAAATAAAAGAGTAAAGTTATGAATAATTGTCTCTTTTATATGACACAATAAACAGAAAAATATCATTTAATTTGCTAATAATAATTTATTTAACTTTAGCATTTGATTTTTATTAAACTCTTAATGGAATTTTCCTTCTAATCAGAGCTATTACAATAATAATAATACGTCATCTAACATTTATTATATATAAAGAAAAATGAAAAATTGCTGAACAAAAGCTAATTTTAGAATTCCGTTTACCTAGCACGCATATTGTAATTTGAAAATTTTAGATAAGGAATACACGAAATTTAAGTTTAACATTCTAAACATAAATTTTGTTCTTAATAGTATTTAATATTTCAATCCAAGCATTTTTAATTCAGTAATTTTATTAAAATTGTACAAAATTCACAGAAAGAACGTTTGCTAGTTGTTTTATTTATACATCATGCTAATTTTTATGGTGTTTTATCGAATGCAAACTTTATTTAAAGAAGGAAGAAAATTCTTATAGGTAAATGAAATAGTTAATCAACAAGACAGGGAAATTCATTAGAATTCTTTGACTTTTCCTAGAAACAGAAAGACAATTAAGGATGATGACGGAAATTGTCTTAGAGAAGCGATAAGACACGAATTGCATGAAAGACAATAGTGCAGAACCGCGTCTGGCTGCAAATTAATTCTGAAGCGTTCAATCAACGTTCTTTAGATCAATTCTACAACAGAAAATATCTACTTACTTATTACACATTCTGTCCTAAATCTCAATAATGACTTAAAATAAATTTTATTTAAACCTTCTTTAACCTTTCCATACTTTCAAACAGTTTCAAACAATTTAAATTCGGCTTAATTGGATGAGCGAGAACGTTTCCCTGTAAACGTCGCTACATTGTATTCATCTTGTGTTGTGCAGGAAAACGCTATTTACAGGCGCGAGAGTCTTTGCTTCTTAATATATTCAAATTACTATTAATGCACTTCTTGACTTGATATAATATTACATTTAAAAAGCTATATTTAAATTAAAAAATTGTTATAAACCCATTAGAATATATGTGTTAAGATATTTTTAAAAACATGCGATTCTATTCTTAGAAAATACTCTCAGGTTAAAATCTGAATAGATAATTCTATTACATAACCTGTCACAATAATTGTCGAGTTTGATCATCGTCATCCATCTTACTATTGTGATAATAGATGCCAATCCATACTAAGTTAATTATAATAAACAAAAATAAAATTATACATTGATTGTACCTATATATAAATAATTGAGAAAGAATTTTTAAAATATCGAAATTCCTTCTTATTTAAATGATTGATTTTTCGTAATTATGTAAATTCTTAAGTTGTTAATGTTGATATAACAAATTTATTATTCATTACAAAACTTACACATTAAACTCTTAATGAAAAATCAAATTTTCGTTTCTATATTTTAATAAACTAAATTCTTGAATTAATTTAATATTTATAGACTTTTCACATTTGTAAATTAAAATCTTCACTAAACTTGAAATTATTTTATAAACAAAATTTAATTTTTTACATTATCTTACGCATATTTTAAAGAAACTTGTGAAAAAATAGTCATATATATATTTTTTTAAGAAACAAAATATAGAAAATTAGTTCATTTATTAGTTTTATTTTATGTAAAAGTCACTTTTATATTAATTTTTTTTTAAAAAGAAATGTTAAAAAATGAATATTTTTGTATTTTTTATGACTTGTAAAAATAAATTTGTATTAACTCTTAACTAAAATGTATTATATTCGACATAGAAAAACTTCAAGGCGTACTGTCATTAATAATTTAATTTAAATAAAATTATAGAAAAAAATTTAAATTACTGTAAACAATTTAAGTCAGAAAATTAAAAAAATAAAATTAATTTTTTTATGTTCTTTCAATGTAATTTTATCATTGGAAGAAAGAAACTAATTTTCATTTATCTTTCTGCTTTATATTGGAGAATTAAACTATATCACTTCAAGAAAAAAAAATCCAATTTAAATCGCTATAATTATAAGGAAAAGTCTGTCTGCAAAGAATTTGAAATAAAATAATCTTTACACTTTCATGTTCTTATTAAAATAATAATAATTTTTTAACTATATTTTATAAAAAAATAAATAATTTTATTCAAATTTAATAGTTTTAATTAAACTGTTAATTCTTCTATATGAATTAAAATATCAAATTCAAGGGCATACAATATAACAAGATAAGTAATAAAGTTTTATATTTATGTCAGTAAGTTATTTAACCAAGTTTGTTTACTATTCTGATATCAGAATTAAGCAGATTTAATTATGTTTATTTATTGTATTTAATATATACTAAGAGCATCTCCTTACTTTAATACGCTCATTAAAGGGAATACAATAATTAAAGTATATATAAATTGTAGTATAGATTGGTGAAAGTCATTAATCCAAAATTCTTGAATGACAAAAAATATTTCAAATATTTATATAAATTGAATACATAATTTTAAAAGAATGCTACGAATAATTTAAATAAGTAAAGTTTTTTTAATTAAAAACTTTATTCGATTAATTATAATAGTCATTGATTAATACTAGAATTGGAATATTGAATAATTAATAATCTATTTTTCTTGTTTCCTTCATACAAAAGTAAATTTAATTTGTAACTAGATAAACATTACTTAGGTTTCATTGAATAAAATATTAAAATATTAATGAAATTTCTTGCTGTTTAAAAATTTACAATAATGACTAAATCGTTTCTAATTATCCTTTAATAAAAAATTATGTATATATATATATAGTAATTATTAAAATTTAAAGTTATTAATTACTATAATTTTAACACAGAAAGAAAAACTAATAAAAAATTTATAAATATGTTATTGCTTTTAACAAATGAAATAATTATTACGGTAATATACAATAAATATTTAAGACACATCCAGTCATTTATTCGAGGAAATAAAATATTGCCTCTTGGATGTAAAACTAGTTGTGTAATAGAAATGTCACTATAAATAGAACACGCGAAAAATATGGAACAAGTTAGGTAAAAGCAGATAATAATATACGTCGAATAAATGCTATTTTCTTAAATTATTTTCGTAAGTCGTTGAAAAAATTATCAATCTGTCATCATCTTCATTTTTCTAATAGACTAAAACTTTTTATATAGTTATTCGTATTAATTTCATTAATTTCATTTTTATAAAATTCTTTCGATAATGAATATTATAATATTATGAATAACGTTTAGTATTTAGGTAAAACAATGATGATTATTTGATACATTTTTATTTTATTTTATACTATTAATGATTTGTTAATAATTCAACACTGTGTAAATTCTATTTACGTTTGTTAAATTAACTATAATTACTATATATGTATTATAAATTCACTTAATATAAGAGCTATTTTAATATAAATGATGCATAATATTCAAATATTAATATGAAGTTTACCAAATTAAAAAATGTTTAAGTTTTAAATTTATAACATAAATATTTCAAGAAGAGAATGTTAAGATAGTAAAAATATTATTATGTTTACATATGACGTCATTTATCTATATGTGTAATTAGGTTAAATTGTTAAAATATTGAGAGAATAGGCGAAATGTAAGATTATCGGAGTGACCACTTTACATCAACCTGTTCGACCTCACCTGAAGTAAAAGTAAAACTGCCGGATACACGCAATCTATCCAGAGCTCTTTGGGGATTTAACAAAGGCATTAAGCAAGATACACACCCACTTGGAATTCCTTAGTATATCGTCCCATGCTATAGAAAATTCTCTTAAATTAATATTAGAAAAGTTCTTCCTACTGTTATTTCGGGAAAGAGCGTGGTGATTAAAGTAATTGAAAAATTCGAAATAGCTTTCTCCTTTTAAATTATCATTAGAAATGGTTATTTCCCGATTACTAATGTCATTGTTGTTTTTCGATTTTGATAATGAAAGTATTAAGTGACGTGGACGAAATTTCCTACGATGATCGATCAATATCTTTTAACCTCTACACAATTTACGGTAGTTCTAAGCAGAGTGAAAATATAGAATAGAAAAGACTTACATAAACCTGTGGGCACAGCAGGACATAATGGTTTTCTTGACATTGTTGACACTATTGCACTTCCACGCGTTGTTGCGTTGTTTCCTAACGTTCTGACAGATCTCAAGACCTGTTTCAAGCGTGCCGTATTTACCCGACTTTGTAATAATAGAATATTAGTTTCGACCGAAGGAGCATTTCGATCCAATAGTGCCTCAACTCTTAATGTTTCCGGCTTCTTTGTTAGAGGCTTAGTCACTCGGGCTACTACAGGAATCTGTGGTTTTCTAACCTCAGTCTGTTGATGAGATTGTGGCTGGGATGTCAAAGGCGACGTTAAGTTCAATTCGTGTCTATGAATGTAGTGAGCTCTTCTGTTGGCATGGATCACTGCTATTTGCATCAGTGTCACGAAAATTAAAGAGAAAACGAACATGAGTAATAAAACTGACGGCATCATACGTATAGCCCTCTTCAGCGTGAATCTGACTAGCGGTCTAGCTAGAGGAACACGCACTCTCACCACCTGCATGATGTCTTTAGATAGAAGGCACGTCTCNAAAAAAAAAAAAAAAATTGGTTTGATCTTTAGTTTTTCACTTGATCAAGAACATAAAATTTAATTTTTTTTTAAAACCAGAAAGTCAAATTTTATTAATAAAAGTTTAATTTTTAGAATGATAAATCTTATTTAAAATAACTCGTATGTTTATATCAATGGAGAAGGAGTAATCGAGATTCACATTGAAATTACAATATCGTTTAACATTAAAACAATGTAGTTCTGCATGTTATATATAATATTATCAAATTAAGTAATAAATTTGCTTCTGAAAAATACTCATTTTATTTTATTTAGTCGATGTATAGTACGAACGTTTTAGTTTATAGATCGATTTTAGTAGATCTTAAACACACAAAATTTTTTAACTATATTAAGAAACTTTACAGAGAAATAAGTAAATACAATTTTCTGGATTTTTAATATCAGAATAATAATACACCTTTCCGCATAAGTGGGTTTAAAATATAATTTTATAAAATATTGAATCAAATTTTTAAATTTTAGATTCTTATAAAGAAATCAAAAATGATTTGGATATAAATTTATGTTTTAATATTTCTAATACTTGAAAGATATATTTGCTATTTTTAATTTAGGCCAGTCAAGTCAAAATACCGTGCGTCAATTAAAAAATATCAATGATTACGTTATCAATTATTAATAATATATCTAATTTTCCTGTAAAATTTTAAGCAACAATTTCATCGCTAATCGTTAGACATTTTTATTTTTTACCAGAACGAATTTCTAAAATAATAACTGTAGTATATTTTCATCTATTTAAAAATATAAAAATTTAAAAATAATTTAATTGCAAATTTTTCTCAAAATACTATTTTTCAGAGAAAAATTTGCAATTCCTTTCTTATATAACTTTCTGTAAAAAAATTTGAAGAATGTTTATTTTTGAATTATGATGCTCTAACATACTTTGTTATAAAAAAATGTTGAATCACTTCGCACTTTGGATTTTTCTAATTTTCTTTTTCTTTCTTTTCTGTTTTCCGGATATAAATGTAGGCCTATACAACGATCTCCTTCACGAATCATCTTCAAATAATTTCTAAATGATGGAAAAACGAAACTTTTCAGGTGATTTCATCGAAATTAATTATCTTCTAACAATACAAATTTAAAAATTATTTCACCAACATTTAATTACAGTGAATATAAGATTACTGAAACAGCGTTGTAAAAATTTTCAAGTTTCAAATAAGTGTGAGGCCTCGGAAATAGTCCCTCCCCAAAAGGAAAGACATGTAAAAATTTGTTAAGTTCAATCGTCAAGAAAGCAAATTATATAAGTTGAATCGGCGACACCGGACTTTGACGTCGACGCTCATAAAGAGTAGAAGGAAAAACAAAATTTTAGATATAAAAGAAGAAAATTTAAAATATTAAAGTTAAGACGCAGTTTAGAAAGTAAAACGAAACTAGAAAAAAATATTAAAATGAGCGTAGGTGTCATAGTCAACAATTAAACGCGATCCGAGTCTAAGAGATGGTGTCGGATAAACCATCTCCAGCCGACCTTTTCCGCGAACTTTGCAAAGCGCCATTTACACCTGGAGACAGGAGGAAGACCAATTAGAAAATGATGATGTAAAGTTTAAAATTAGCAAAAAGCTACTCCCGACAAACTTATAAAAACACCAATACCAAGGACAACGAGGCTTCCACTAAGACTTCCACTAGACTTCTGTTGCGTTCGTGTATCTCCGTTTTTTTTTTCGTGCATCCTTTCATCTTTTGTGCATCGACTTTCGAGTCTTCGAACTTTTTGCTCAACACTGTCCAGGGGCACCTACGACGCAAGACCAGATCGCATCCGAAAATTCCTACAACACAGGACCAGATCGCATCTATCTAAGAACCTTTCCAACGGAAAAATTTATGTAAGCATTTTCGATCAAGAATAAACGGTTTGCCTCTGTAAAACACTTGTCTTTTGCTGCCTTTCAAAACCGCCACCCGCATACGCGTACACCTTAGACCATCCCGACGGTAGGGAATAAAATTCCCTCCCCCCAATCGGCGTTCTTACATAAGCAACTCTCATCTTAGATATTAATAACTGAGATTTTTACGAAAAATAAATGAAATTTAACAAAAATTATTTTGGTTTTAATAAATAAATATTTACAACAAAATTAAGGTATTAGTTAAAAAATTTTTTTATTCATGTAATAGTGTTATAAATTTTATGTAAAAAGTTTATTTCCATCAAACATCCGTTCGATTTTTCTGTTAAATTCAAACAATAAACAGGAAAATATATGAAATCTTCTTTTGTATTAATAAAATCAAAATATATCAATATTTTATATTTCAATATGAATCACTTCCTAAATGAAGAAGTATTTTCATAACGGCATATCATGTCTAAATGCTCAAAATTTGCTGTAATTACCAATTATAATAAATGCTTAAATATCTATCATTTATTAGTTCAGACCGTACTTTTCGGTAATTATACATTCCTATTTAACTATAAAAATGTCATTATATCATATATATATTTAGGCTATTTCTTTATTCAAATTTTTGTAATTTTATTAATCTTATGAGTACAGATAATTACCAAAAAGAATAAACAAGAAAAGAATATTAATAGAAAAAGTATTTAAAAAATAAAAATTATTATTATAACAAATAAAACACACAAAACCCAAAAAATCCACCCTCTTTGATATGTACTACAGGTATTTTATAGTTGTTTATTAAATGTGTTATTTTTGTTCAACCTGTGTATTGATTTGGGAACCTGTCAATTTACTCATTGACCTCCCCCACTCAATTTTATTTTGTCCTCCTATAAAGCTATCCTCTGACAGAGCCGCCGGTAAGTGGGGACAACTAACCCCTCGGTTCTCACAGAAAAGTGAATGCTTCATCTGCATAGTACCAAGAATACATTTACAAAGTTGGAAATGTCAATTTGTCTACCCAACTTGGTCACATTTTATGTGCTATCACAAAACTGAGATGAATGCTTATTTATATCATCAAAATAATTGGCATATACTCATTAAGGGAGATGTACACTGGATGTATCTTCACGGCACTCTTGTCTCTAATGTTTTGTCCTATAAGTATACAATAAAAATAAAAACTATCCATTGCAAACGTGACTCTAAGATTTTTAACAAGAACCAAAAAAAAAAAAAAAATTGGTTTGATCTTTAGTTTTTCACTTGATCAAGAACATAAAATTTAAATTTTTTTTAAAACCAGAAAGTCAAATTTTATTAATAAAATTTTAATTTTTAGAATGATAAATCTTATTTAAAATAACTCGTATGTTTATATCAATGGAGAAGGAGTAATCGAGATTCACATTGAAATTACAATATCGTTTAACATTAAAACAATGTAGTTCTGCATGTTATATATAATATTATCAAATTAAGTAATAAATTTGCTTCTGAAAAATACTCATTTTATTTTATTTAGTCGATGTATAGTACGAACGTTTTAGTTTATAGATCGATTTTAGTAGATCTTAAACACACAAAATTTTTTAACTATATTAAGAAACTTTACAGAGAAATAAGTAAATACAATTTTCTGGATTTTTAATATCAGAATAATAATACATATTTCCGCATTAGTGGGTTTAAAATATAATTTTATAAAATATTGAATCAAATTTTTAAATTTTAGATTCTTATAAAGAAATCAAAAATGATTTGGATATAAATTTATGTTTTAATATTTCTAATACTTGAAAGATATATTTGCTATTTTTAATTTAGGCCAGTCAAGTCAAAATACCGTGCGTCAATTAAAAAATATCAATGATTACGTTATCAATTATTAATAATATATCTAATTTTCCTGTAAAATTTTAAGCAACAATTTCATCGCTAATCGTTAGACATTTTTATTTTTTACCAGAACGAATTTCTAAAATAATAACTGTAGTATNATTCAAATATTAATATGAAGTTTACCAAATTAAAAAATGTTTAAGTTTTAAATTTATAACATAAATATTTCAAGAAGAGAATGTTAAGATAGTAAAAATATTATTATGTTTACATATGACGTCATTTATCTATATGTGTAATTAGGTTAAATTGTTAAAATATTGAGAGAATAGGCGAAATGTAAGATTATCGGAGTGACCACTTTACATCAACCTGTTCGACCTCACCTGAAGTAAAAGTAAAACTGCCGGATACACGCAATCTATCCAGAGCTCTTTGGGGATTTAACAAAGGCATTAAGCAAGATACACACCCACTTGGAATTCCTTAGTATATCGTCCCATGCTATAGAAAATTCTCTTAAATTAATATTAGAAAAGTTCTTCCTACTGTTATTTCGGGAAAGAGCGTGGTGATTAAAGTAATTGAAAAATTCGAAATAGCTTTCTCCTTTTAAATTATCATTAGAAATGGTTATTTCCCGATTACTAATGTCATTGTTGTTTTTCGATTTTGATAATGAAAGTATTAAGTGACGTGGACGAAATTTCCTACGATGATCGATCAATATCTTTTAACCTCTACACAATTTACGGTAGTTCTAAGCAGAGTGAAAATATAGAATAGAAAAGACTTACATAAACCTGTGGGCACAGCAGGACATAATGGTTTTCTTGACATTGTTGACACTATTGCACTTCCACGCGTTGTTGCGTTGTTTCCTAACGTTCTGACAGATCTCAAGACCTGTTTCAAGCGTGCCGTATTTACCCGACTTTGTAATAATAGAATATTAGTTTCGACCGAAGGAGCATTTCGATCCAATAGTGCCTCAACTCTTAATGTTTCCGGCTTCTTTGTTAGAGGCTTAGTCACTCGGGCTACTACAGGAATCTGTGGTTTTCTAACCTCAGTCTGTTGATGAGATTGTGGCTGGGATGTCAAAGGCGACGTTAAGTTCAATTCGTGTCTATGAATGTAGTGAGCTCTTCTGTTGGCATGGATCACTGCTATTTGCATCAGTGTCACGAAAATTAAAGAGAAAACGAACATGAGTAATAAAACTGACGGCATCATACGTATAGCCCTCTTCAGCGTGAATCTGACTAGCGGTCTAGCTAGAGGAACACGCACTCTCACCACCTGCATGATGTCTTTAGATAGAAGGCACGTCTCAAACAACACGACCCATTCGACACCTTGGTCTGTTTGTAGCGGCAACTGAACAGAACCGTATTGACTGCTGTTTCCATGGAAACAGCAGCATCCCGTACAGATGCGCAGGCGTAGTGCTGATGGAAGAACTACACGCCGCATTCTCTCTTTAGTAGACAATTCGATCGGATTCGAGAATAGTCGCCCGATACAATAGCATAGTCTCGTTCGTTTACCATGATTTTCGGATTTGCCCAAGTTGGATTAAGCCACCGACGAATCTGACCACAATTCTATTCAAACAACACCTATATTTAGCTCTAGACAAGTTGTAAGTGCAGAAAATCTAATTACTAAAGAAATGTTCTTTAAACCTTATCTGATTAATTCTGTTTTGAAAATTGAATCATCACATCAAATTAGTCTACCATTTAAATGATTTACGTTTTTTTCGCCTCAAATTTTATTCTATTTGTTTATTTATTTTCTTTACATTTATCATCATAAAATTTATCATTACGATAATTTTGTTAAGTAATTTATTGTATGGAAATGTACAGAATAAAATTTAATTACAACAAAAACTTGTTTCCAATTTCTTTATTTTATTTCGAAATAGAAACTTTAACGTTAAGAATCTCTCTTTAATTAATCTAAAAACTTTCCCATTGCAATTACTAGAGATAGAAGTGGATATAGTCTTTGCTGGGTTGAAACAATTAGTATAATTTACTGTTAATTATATCAGTTCTCTTTATCTGTAAACAACACTAGAGAAAGCTCTTAATTAAGAAGCATAGAAAACAATAATCAAATTTAATTCATTATTAATATTTAATATTGGTTAAGTCGTAATCTTCGTGAAAGATTCTATTAAAACTGAGATGTAAAACAGAAAAGTTCCTAAAGCTTCAATCAGACCATTGACTAATAAATAATAAATAGACAAATAACAAATAGGATCTTAGTAAATTATTGATAGTGTTCTATTGACATTTCTTTCATAGTTGTTTATGGTGTAATGGTTATCAAAATGACACATGGTGATAATCCATTACTTGAAGAAACGATCCAGAAAAAAATCTTACTTGTTTAGATTGATAAAATCAAATTTACAAAATATATAAACATAATTGAAGTAAACATAAATAGTTATGTATTTAGTTTACATGAAATTATAAATATCAGAAACAACATCCTCTAGAAGTATATCTGGTTTTTTGTTTTAAAAAAAAAAACATAAATACAGACTGGAAGTAACATGCAATATTCTATCGATTTAAAAATTTAATCTCTGAAATGTAAATATAAATTTTTGTAAAGTATATAGAAACAAAGTATTTTTAATCCATTTTAATAAAGACGAACTTTATTCTTATTCGATGAAATTATTTAAAAAAATTAATCTGTTAATGAAATTTTATGCGTTTTCATTATTCGGTCAAACAAATTAAAAATTAATTTTATACATATTAACTTAAACTTTATATATTATGATGTTGTAATTAAAAATTAAGTATTTAAAAGTGTTTAGAAAAAAATATTGGCAATAAATTAATCATTAATAAGAATACGATATATATTTTTTTAATATTGTTTTAAATTTGAAAAGCTGAGACGAAACAAGAAAAAGTTATTATATAATTTTTTTTTCATGTTTATTTTAATGAGATTGAAGGTATGGTTCTAATGTTTATCTTTTTGAATAATTTCAAGTTAATTAATCTATATCAAGCGCACTGTTAGTAATATTCCGATAATGAAACTTATTGCTTTACTTCATGTTTCTGTTTCGAAGCACTTGTCTTTCAATAGGCCACTCAGATAAGGAATTGCTCAGTCATGCTATCCTAGCTGGAAGCAGTCTAAGTGAACTTTCGCCGCTTAATGAAAAAACTTAGCTGAAATTTAATTGCACAATTGATTTGTAAGAATGTCAGATTTTTTCAATGACTTCGCATATATAAAATTAATTTTATTCATCCAAAAATAAATCGTTGTAGTGTTTTATTGACGAACTTTTCGTCGGTCATTCGTAAAGAACACTCACAGAATTTCTTATTTATACATATAGCAGTATTATTAAAATCTATTTAAATCCACCACACTTCAATAGATGTAAGTGCAAGAGAAATTAAAATGATAAAAACATTATCTTTTGACGTTTCAAAGAGTTTGATTTATTTTGTTTTTAATAATATTCAGACTAAAATATATTTCTTTTTAAGTTGTTGCTTAATTACTTTTAAATATATTTAATCGTTTAACGAAAAAGTAGTGTATTCTCTACAGACTATGTCTGTAAATCCTCTACAGATGTAGCTGTTATATTAGGAATTTTTCTTTAATTCAATTGGCTTTTAAATTTCTTAAAATACTTAATTAAATGTTTTTTCGTGCTTACATTCGTCTGTAATAAGTTTTAATGATAATATAAAGGAACAGCAAATTCAGTTTGCTTATAGTTAGTTGATATACATACATACGTAGGCATATTTTACCAAATAAAAATTTGATTTTGAAAACGTTCACCTAATCTTATAAATATTATCTTACTTGTTAGAATTGTGTTAAACTACTGCTGTCTTAGAAATATCACACTTATATATTCTTCTGTATTTAGACTATCGCACAATTTTGTATAAATTAATAATCTCTGAACTTGGCATTTATTCAACTTTAAACGAGAACAGTTAGAAGAAAATATTTCAAATTAAATTATCTTTAAAAGTAATAAAAATATATAGCTTAGACGCATATATGAAAAAATATAATGAAGTGTTGATAAAAATATTTTGATTTAGAAGCTGAAAATGTTAAAAAAATCAAAATTATTAAATTAAAATAAATTTTTGTTGTACATTTTACGAACAGATTTAAGATTTTAAATATGGTAATATAATCCTATTAAATAAAGATTTGTAAACATTTCAGTTGTAATTAAAAAGTAAGTTATAAAGAATTAATTATAATTTATATTTAAACAAATTTTAAATGATAAATGTCTAGAAGTTTAAAGTTTTTCAAATTACCATAATAATTTTTATGGAGTTTCACAAAAATAATGAGAAAATCTAAACATGAAGCAACAAAAATGATATGTTTTTTATATTGTCAGATCTGACTTATGTGATAAACTACAGCTTAAAATTTTATTATTATTTTTCGTCATAAAATTTCCGTAATTATTTTCTAGCGTTGGACATGTTCTTAAAACCTGAGATTTCAAGAAAAAAAAAAAAACATTCATTAATGAGACTTTAGACTCTTCAGATAAATATTCAAGATAAATCTAAATAACGTTTTTTCCTGTTGCTGACTTAATCCGAAATATTATTCATTACAATTTATGTGTGAAAATTTAATCTTACAACATTGCAATTTTTAATGTTTATATTATGAATGGTTAAAAACTATTTCTTTATGTATAAAAATATTGATTTGGCAAGAAAAAACTTTTAAGGATTAACTATAAAATGTAGACTATTTAATGAAGCTAATAGTTCATTTTACTTCAGTGACAATCGATGATGCAAATTTTGTCACCAATGTTCTGTTAATTACTCTGCAGGAAGGTACGCCCTTATCTTATTCTCAATATGGAGAAGAGGAGAACACGATTCTATTAATGTCTCCTACGCAGATTCCGACTTGAATATGAAGTCATTAGATTCAAGCTATGTAAATTCATTTAACGGTTAAATAACTTTGTTCGCATAAAGTCTAATTTCGAATTTAATTGTAATGTTTCGTACGACATATCATGTAGCATTTTACCTTTTGTTGGAGTGCGATGGCGAATGACAAATGATATTGCCGTCCATAAAAATCATCAGATAATTGATAGCAATCTAAGATCTAGTTCACTAACATTGAAGCTAATAACCTAGAATTATTTTCTGTCATTTTATGGGTAACTTGGTGCAGAATTTCTTTTTGTACAAACCACTAAATTGAACATCCTAATGCTTCGCCTTTCCTAAATGGATAACAATTTATCTCAATAAATGTTTGCTTTTTTCCAGCAAATATTTGTATTTTTCGAATTTATGTCTTAATATTTATTATATTAGTAATTTTTAAGCAAAGAATATTGGTGCATGTATAAATATTACATTTAATCCATTCAAAAATAATTTAATTTAATTTTTTTTAACATTTAACTTTACAGAAATTTCTTATAACAGACTCTATATAATAAAACTATAAATCAAATATACAATATATATGTACCAGTACGTAAATATAATGCCTCTTAGGTCTGATAAGATACTCAATTTTATTTACCTTCATTCAAATTAACTTAAAGATCATAAATTTGTTTCCATAAGTATCTTAATTCGTTATTTAAAATACTTAATGTATTTTCTCGATAAGCAGTGTATTAAAGCATAATTCTTTTGGGTTTGTTTATGCTAAATCTTAAAGTTAATACCTAGCAAAGATTATAAATAAGAAGATACTTTTTAAATCGAAACGATTGAAAAATAGAGCAGAATATAAGATTTATGTAAATAATAATACCCTAAAGAATATTACAATTATCATCATCATATTTTAAATCTGATACAACACGTTACAATAAAGAAAAATAAAAACAATAATTTCTTTAAAATCATTTATAAAATTAGTTTAATAATACTAAACGTCATATTTCTTTGTATAATTATATATAAAGCGATGTAGATTTAATTTATATTGGATCTCGTTGTGTACAGTACGTGATATTTGGACTTTTTTAAACATCTCGATAAAACTGCTCCTTTAAAAAATTTGTTTAGATTCAATGTTTATAGAAAATTGGATTTTGTATTGAATCTTATTTTACTTGTATTTATCCATAGAAAGGATAAAGAACTGAAGTCAGCGAAAAATTTGAAATCGAAGATTTAATCTTCGAAAACGAGTCGAGTGTCAAAAAAGTCTTAAATTAGTAAGTTGACATTAGCTTTTCGTAACATAAATATTTCTTAATTTTTATATGCAGAAATTAAACACACACATTTACGTATTAAATAAATTAATGTAAAATTAAAATGTTATAACATTCTTTTAGAAATATGTTAATGCTATTTGTTTGTTTGAAATTACAGTATAAAAAAAAAGAGTAAAACTCGAATATTTTTGAAATTGTTTTTCTTTATCTTACAATTTTTTTCTAA